GTATGTTCATCCAAGTGAATACACAAGTGTGAAAGTGCACAGACTAGAGCAGTGACCAGCTGCACAAGTAGCCCAGCTGGCGATTTCTAACTTTTTTTGAACCTGTTAGAATCATTTAAACACTCCTATCTGTTAGAGTTCTGCATAACAAGTTCCAGAAACAGAAGTCTACACGACTTTTTCCCCTGGCTTCTCTAACACTGATAACACAGCCACTCTTATGGGGACTAACCTTCTGGAAATTACCTTAGCTTCTATACCCAAAAACCTAATCCAATTCACAATAACTGGGAATTAAAATACAGTAGTTAGTTCAGCTCCTTCGTACTATCCTGCTATCCCTCGCATTTGGATGAAGAATGCAGCAATGGAATGAATGTATCAAGTTGTTCTACACCCTTTCTCCATCCCGTCAAACAATAGCATACATTTGTAGCCCATCAGGCCTGAGACAAAAGTGGATCCTGTATCCAGACTCCGGAGACAGCAATGAGCTGGGTTCAGTGCAGCCACACTGTGAAGCCTGGACTGCCTGCTTTACTTCTCTGTTTTTTCCAGAATGCACACCCAGTCTCTCTCCACCCCATATGGATCTAGCTGTTATCTTACATTCATTTACGTCCAGTGGTCTTCTCTATGTTTATGATAAGCAACAGCATTCTAAAGCCTGAACTTGCCATGGTCAAAAATTAACAAAAAGTAATGGAAAAATCCAGAATGTGGAAATACCCAGAGCACACTTCACAACATGTACAGTATCGAAAGTCATGTGAGAAATAGAGATGTCTCCTCCAAGTTATCTAACTAGCCCGGGCACCCCCAGGCTCCCTGAGACTGCCCCCGGCCTCACCTCCCTCTACCTACATACCTAGGTGGCTCCAGGTCTCCTCCCTCAGGTGTCCTGGCCTTCCATTTGCATCATAACTTTCCACCAAACTCCCTGAGGCATTTTGTGAGTTCATTCCCACCCCCCCCAAAAAAATTCCTTAATAAACACTCTCTGTTGATGACCTACTTAGTCATGAGTCCTATTTTCTTATGCTTCCTTTTGCCTAACAAATTTATTATCTAGATAGCTTTCAAGTTAGACGCACTGCCTAAACACATACACTTCCATTTGGCTTATTTCGGCCTGCTGCTTAACCAACAAAGTGACTGGAAAGAACTACTTGGAAGCTAATAATTTGCTGTCTTTACTTGGTATCACATAGTCTCCTAGAGATTATAAAGTACAATCGTCTCATTTTACCAAGAAAGAAATGTAGTGACCTAACTTGGCCAGAGGAGCAAGATGACTCTGGCACCAATTTCTATGGACCCTTCCCAGAATAAAACACATCACTTTTGTTAGATCTCATGCACTAGCGATCATTTTGAGATACGCAATTCGGCATTCCCCCTACCCCATAGACAACTCCTCATAAGAGGCAGAGAAATCTATGCACGCTGTGCATTGGCATGAGTCAAAAACCAAAGCTACCAACAAAAAGATGCCATGTCGACTGCATGAATAACACGCAGTGATGCCTAATAGAGATCCAGCCCATTTTGACTGCTCATCTCAATCACACACTCCCAGAGTTCACCTAAGAGTTAATGAAGCAGCGCATATTTTGAAAGGCCTGGTCTGAGATGGGCAAGGAGAAAACAGGCTGGAAAACACCGGAAAGAAATTATGCAAAAGCCATTTTTAAAAATTTCACCATTTCTCTATTTCAATAACAAAATGCATGAATAACTATTGCCCAGTGAGGCTAAACTTAACAAAGAATTTTATGCTCAACAAGAATGGCTTCTCAATTTGATTCTTGTAAATATTCACACATAGTTAACCATACAAAACTACAAAGAACTCATCAAGTTTTCCCTATTTCATCTAAGTCTGCCCACAGTAACGCCATGACACTGGTACTGCTGTGCTGGGTGCAGAGCTGTTTTGTTTTTTTAATGAACACCTAACCTGTCCTTGAGTAGTTCAGGCAATAAATTCTGTTCTAGGATGATGTCAGAACCTTATCTTATGATTATGATTAAACTGCAAGCTTCAGGAAGATCGGGACTCCCTACTGCCCTTCTCACCAGTACCTTTGTATCAGTGCTCAACAGGCTGTTCAGAGGACTAGAATATTTTTTTTTTTTTTTTTAGACAGAGTATTACTCTGTTGCCTGGGCTAGAGTGCCGTGGCATCAGCCTAGCTCACAGCAACCTCAAACTCCTGGGCTCAAGCCATCCTCCTTCCTCAGCCTCCTGAGTAGCTGAGACTACACACGTGGGCCATCGCACCCACCTAATTTTTTCAGTTTTTAGTAGAGACGGAGTTTTGCTCTTGCTCAGGCTGGGCTCGAACTCCTGACCTCAAGCCATCCTCCCGCCTCAGCATCCCAGAGTGCTAGGATTACAGGCATGAGTCACCTTGCCTGGCCAAAGGATTGAAATAATGCAGAAACTAAACTCACTAAGTCCACTCCAATGGCTCTGAATAGCTCTCATGTTCTTTTTGTCATTTTTGCCTTAAAACAAAAATGGATTCTGTTATCAGAAATTATCTGCTCACTCCTTAATCTTTCAAATGAATATGCCTCTTAGTCAAGAGAAATATTCCCCTGCTCACTCTTAAAATGATGAGGTATCCTAAACAGGAAAACAACATTGTATTTGAAGAACTACAGAAGCAGTTGAAACATAAGCTCTGGAGTTACACAGACTGCTCTAATGAAAGGTTTCTCAATCATGACACTAGTGACATTTTGGGCCAGACAACTCTTTGTTGTGGGGGGGGCTGTCCTGTACATTATGGGATGTTTAGCAGCATCCCTGGCCTCTACCCACTAGATGCCAGCAGCACCTCCCCTGTCCCCAGGTGTGAACCAAAAATGCCTCTAGATATTGTCAAATGTCCCCTGGGAGGACAAAACTGTCCCCCAGTTGAGAACTACTATTCTAAAATCGCAGACTTGCTTTGAATCCGGGCTCCACCTCCTCACTACCTGTGTGACCTTGCGAAAGACACCCAACCTTCCTATGCCCCAGAAAATTTCCTGCAAAAATGCTGAAAATTAAATGGAATGATGTATGTACAGGATTTAGACCCACAGAACATTCACTGTCAGAGTTACTGCCCAATAAATGGTAAGAAATGAGGGCAGGTTAAAATAAAATAATTTCTAAAACCAAAGGAACTTAGCTTCAGGCCCCCAGAATACTCTAGATAGAAGAAGTGGTTGAGATAGACAAAAGAAACAAAACAAGAGAGAGAGAAGTTGGAAAAGAGGGAATAGCATTAAGGTATTGCCCTTGTCTCCAAGAACCTGGTTTCTCAACCAGGAGTACCTACGACAAAAAAGAAAACAAAAAAACAAAAACAAAAAAAACTTGGTTTGGAGTCAAGGCCAAATGGTCTACTTAGCTTTTGCCCTTCTACTCTAACATTCCAAATAAACCAAAAATATCCCCAAATCACAAAAGTCTCAAAAATAAATAAGTCACCAAACCAGAAACATTTTAGTATAAGCACCGAGAATTTACTAAAATGTACACAGGAATACGGAAAATACCAGACTGCCACACCATTGTCTTAAATTCGGGAATCTAAATAACATACTAAAGTCCTAGGGAAATAGTGATGATATAAGCTTCTAAAAGTAATTTTCTAACAGAATCGTTCTGAGTTTCCTTCATCTCTAGTTTTGCTCCACTGGACAACTTTTGAGATTACAGGCAATGTGGGGATTTTTCCATTGCAATGGTGCCAGAGAAGTAAAGACAAACACATTAAAAAAACCAAAACACAAAAAAAGCAATCAAATTCTGCCCAAAGCTTTTATCAGGACGCAAAAACTCCATGAAAAGATTCCAGTCACGTGCCAATTTGGAAACTAGCAGAAGAGTTATTCCTCAAAAGAACTGTGGTCACGGGATGTGTCATCGCTTTAAAAAAAAAAACAAAAACAGGGCCGGGTGCGGGGGCTCACTACTGTAATCCTGCCCCTCTGGGAGGCCGAGGCGGGAGGATCGCTTGGACTCCTGAGTTTCAGACCAGCCTGAGCAAGAGCGAGACCCCGTCTCTACTAAAAATAGAAAAATTAGCCGGGCTTCGTGGTGGGCGCCTGTAGTCCCAGCTACTCGGGAGGCTGAGGCAGAAGGATCGCTTGAGCCCAGGAGTTTGAGGTTGCTGTGAGCTATGATCACGCCACTGCACTCTACCAGGGGCGACAGGGCGAGTTTGTCTCAAAACACACACACACACACACACACACACACGCACGCACGCACGCAACACAATACCTCCACCAACTATTTGGTAAGCACTTAAAATACTCATCTTGCCTTTTTACTTACTAAGTTGGAAGAAAGGGAACGATTCTGAAACCCCAGCTAGTGTCTGAATCAGATAATGCCTCCAAACTGCCCGCAGCCCCTAGGATTGGCTTTACAGTCCAAACGCCTCACCTGAGTGGTCATAAGACTTTAAGCAAACGTTCAGCTAGCTAGGTAGAACTTCAGAGGGTCTTTGCTGTTCCTACGTTAATTATTCGCGTATAGGGTTTGGTTTGGGATGTGTGGACGTGGGTGTCCCCGAGTGGCTGGGGGAAAGTCTGGTGAATTATGTGTGTTCCCAGGTGATAGGGTGTATTTCTCCGTGGGTGCGTATGTGCGCGCGCGAGGGTCTATCCATCTCTCCCCCGAGTATCTGGGGTTTTTTAATAACCCTCCCGGGGTGTTTTACGTATCTCTCTGCTCCCGATGTGTGTGTGTTTCTCCCGAGTGTTTGGGTGTGTGTCTGTCCCTCTCCCCGAGTCTGTGGGTGTGGGAGCCCGTCTTTCCTCCTGCGTCAGTCACTAGAAGGCAGGGGAACAACAATCCGACCCCTCTCCCCGGGCGGCCCTGTGACCCGCGCTAGCCTGGCGCGCGGCCCGGGCCGCCCCCATCACACCCTGACGCCCGAGCACCCCGACCCAGCCCTCGCCCGGCCCTGGCGGGAGTTCCGAGCCCCGCTCACCTCGTGGCCACACGGAGGAAGCCCCGGGAACTCCGGGCTGGCCTCTCTGGGTGCAATGAGGACAGAAAGAGGGTCGCGGACTTGGCGGGCAGGAGACGGCAGCGGCGGCGCTGCCCCGCTCCAGCTCCAGCGGCTCACGTCCAGCGCAGAGGAAACAACATGGCGACGGGCCGGGGCGGGGCCCGGGGAAGCGGGGCGGGGCCTGGGGCGAGACCCCGGGAGCAGAACCCGAGGGAGGCGGGGCCCGCGGGGCCAGTGCGCGCCGCCCTCACCCACACCCTGACCGTCCTGGCTGAATCGCGGTTTGCCCTCGGGTCGGGGGTTTCTCGTGTCCAAGCACAAAGTAATAGTTATTTTGAAAAGTTTAGGTAAGGTGGAAATAAACAGATCTCATGAGCATGATCACACGATGTCGTGATTACGGTGATGAAAAAAATGAATGTGCAAACGGACAAAGAATAAATAGGTACATGAAAAACGAAAACAGTTGTGACGTTGTGGAATAACGAGAATTTGTAAATTAAGCTTTTAAAATTTTCTTTCAATCTTGTTAAAATACTGCCTCTGTCCTCTCTAAATATAAAGCAGTAGTGGCTAGAGGTGATATTGGAGAAATTCTTCTTAATTCCTCGCTTTATATATCAAGTTGAGCGCATGCGTCCTATGATATAGGCCCCTGGAGGCAGCAAGGACTCTAAGTGACCTTTCAATACATCTGGTGGGGTAGATTTAGTTTGTTTATTTTCCAAGGGAAAAATCTCACTTTTATGATTTTTGGGCCTACAATAATTTAAATAATCTCTGGCTCTTTGGGGAGTCATTTTCAGGTAATGACTTTTCATTTAGCACTGGAAAGGTCATATTTGAGAGACTGTCTCACAAGTTACAAAAGACAATTTTAGAATACTTGTGAAAATAAGACACGTAATAAAGATTGCATTCTAGTTGGAGCTTAAATGAATTTTCCTTATAAAAAGAAATCTATTACTATGTTTTACCTGCAGGTTATTTCCCCAAGGAAATATGGGTAAAGATTTATAAAATACAAATTGTTGAAAATAGGGAGGAGGAAGAGATATTCATTATCTTGTTTTAAAACACATAATAGGCTTCTCTTCAGGTCGTATAAATCTTTCACCTTTTAAAACACATAATAATTACAACTACTCAATAAAGCATATATGAACATTACAGTTAATTTTCCAATAGAAAAAAATGGTGTCATGTACGTTGGGCCAAATTACAACAAGTAATCCACAGCATCATTAATGAAATGCCATCGGAAAATCATGTCATACTCATAGTCAAGCACTGATGGAAAAAAAGAAAGAGAAATTTTTTTAAAAAGGAGTGATGGAACAGGAATTTATCTGTGCTAGTACCAACCAGCTATTAACCAGTGCTCTTATGGAATTATTGTATCTTTTTTTGTTTACTTTTTTAAATAAATTAATTAAATATTTATAATTTCTTTTTACAGATTTAGAAGTGGTAGACTTATTGTATCTTAAAGTAAGCCTTGAGAAATCCAAGAGCTTTCAAAAAAAAAGGTCTAACAAGATCCTATAAGTGATTCTAGGGTGTTCCAAAATGTAAGGAGGCATTCAAACATATCTGAATGTAGCTCACAGCACCCGAAGAAAGAATAAGGAAAGTGTTAATAACTTTTTCTGAAATAACTGTTACTTGGATACTAGCCAACCAACATTTAAGAATGCCGACATGTTCTGATCTCTTCCACTATTCACTTTTTCACCTAATTTATTTTTCAGTGCAAGAGTAGAGTGGGTCAAAAGGTTTTTCTCTGCAGGGCAAGATTGGGGAATTTTTGTTGTTAGATGTGTGTGCTTATCAAGCTGACATAAGTTGGATAGATGGTCTCTATCTCTCTTGCTCCATAAATTTGTTTATTGATGAAAACATTCAAGAACTGACCAGGACCAGGCCGGCTCCCGCCTGTAATCCTAGCACTCTGGGAGGCCGAGGCGGGCGGATTGTTTGAGCTCAGGAGTTCGAAACCAGCCTGAGCAAGAGCGAGACCCTGTCTCTACTAAAAATAGAAAGAAATTAATCGGACAACTAAAAATATATAGAAAAAATTAGCTGGGCATGGTGGCGCATGCCTGTAGTCCCAGCTACTTGGGAGGCTGAGGCAGAAGGATCGCTTGAGCCCAGGAGTTTGAGGTTGCTGTGAGCTAGGATGACGCCACAGCACTCTAGCCCGGGCAACACAATGAGACTCTGTCTCAAAAAAAAAAAAAAAAAAAAAGAACTGACCTAGTTTGACTCCCTTCATCTAATTAAGATTTTCATCTTTATATTCTGTAAACACCAATTCATCACTCATTGAAAAGAAAGAGGTCAAGGTTGCTACATATTAATGATTCTTTTCTTTAAATGACACCTACTTATTATGAGCACTGGAAATTAATATCCCATTTCAAGCTGGAGTCTGAAAGAAATCACCTCTGGCACCTCTGAAGAAAAGCTACACATAAGTGGCCCCCAGACTTGGGTACAATAAATACTGAATATAATTGAATTGCTTATACTTTTCACATATAAGAAAAAACACAGAACTCAATGGTAGGCAATTTGACCATTAAATCACATATTTAAATAATCAAAAATTTGATATTTTTCCCAAGTCATTGGCCAAAATAACAGATTTGTTCACAATATCATATAGATGTTCTTACACTAAGGAGGGGAAAAAAGGCATAAAATATGTACAAAAGCAACTCAAAATCCATTGTATTTGGCTTTATAGTCAGTGAAAATAGATAACAACATATAATGTTAAGTGAAAAAGAATATTACCAAATAGTATATGGAAGAAAAGTCCCAATTTGGTTGAGGAAACATTTTTTATAATATAACTTTTGAATATATGTCAAAATATTTAATAATGCATTTATTTATATACTTACATATTTATATAATATATACATTTTTCAATATTTCAAACCAATGTCACACTTGTCTGGTTTGCCTAGAAACTAACTTCAGCATGTTTCTTGCACTAATATACACTAATATAGAACTTCTGATACTGATCCTTAAGTCAGATAAAATTTTAATATATGAGGAAATACCAGAAATCTGATTTCTTCACTTCTTGGCTTAAAAGGAGTTCCAAAGCAAAAATTGAATGGAAGCATCATCCTTAATCTACATATCATCAGTGAGCAAAGTTCAGAATTTCCAGTCTCAGGTTGATGTGATCAAATGAAAATTCTGACCCTCAACCACGATAGACCATATATTCTCTCATGGGGCCCATGAATTCTATCCAATGGCTGATGTTGAATGGCAACCTGGGAGTCAAAAGCCGCTGACATGCTTCCTTCCCTCAGCCTACCCACTGTCAGAAGGGAGGGGACACGGGAGTCAGGAGGTAACACAACTCACACCTCCCAAGCTTGCCACACACCAACCTAAACCCCTCCAATGCCTGTAGCATAGGCACACATTTACTCTCTTCCCTTGGGCGATTTTAAGATTTGCACGAAATGAAAAGTCAATTCATGTTAATGTTTATTCAACAAAATCATAGAGTGTACACACTGCGCTAGGTACTGAGAAAACAGTGGTAAACAAGACACAGGAGGAATCCCTCTTCTCTGAGGACTACCACACTCCTCCACATTTTTGGTTCCATCTACCAGCTTTTTGTATATCATATGACCTTATATTGGTGAATAAAATAGATTCAGTCCGTTTCCTAAGGGAGCTTAGAGAAGAGTAGAGGAGACATTCAATAAGCAACAAAATGAATGTGTAGTTACAAACTGGATTCAAACCTGGAAGAAAACAAACAAGGTGCAGTAGGTGAGAATACCAGAGAAAGAATGAGGAAGTAATATGTGCCGAGCCCTAAGGATGATCAGGCAGCAATGGGAAGGGCTGTGGGAAGAGTGGTGTGAGCTGAGTGAACAGCAGTTCACTAAGAATCTAGCACATAGCAGCTTTCAAGAAATCTTTCTAGATAAAGAAAATGTGCAAACTAATTCTAAATCTTCATAATTTGTGGAAAAACTGAAATTGTAATGGTTTCTCTAGCCATAACTAGATCTAACATATTCTCTTAAAAATAATATGTGCATGTTGAGTAGTGCTACTCTTTCTCTGCCACACTCTAAACATAGCTTAACTCTGTTAATTAAAAATAGCAAAATGGAATAGGCATTAAAATTCAGGAATGAAGTGAGGAATTTAATCCCTTTACTGATTTGTTGATGAATGTGAGTGATAAACAGAACTTAACTTTTAAATGCAATAGAAGGAAAATCACATACACGCTATGGTTACAGTTACGTAAAAGGTATATTTGTGTTTGTATGAGCGTTTGTGCATATGAGTGTTTATAAACAAAAGAATGGAAAGCAACAAGGAAAATCAAAACAATTGAATTAGAGCAGTAGGATTCTGGGTAATTTTTATTTAAATTTTGAGTTCCTTGTTATACTATTCTTTTGAGCAATAAGTGAAAATTTTTTAATGAAGCAATTTTAAGCAACTTTTAAAAGTCCTTCATAAGGTCTCCCAATGTAATCTTTGCCTTAGGCTACAAGGGTTAGTGCAAGACAAAAATCCAGTTCTCTTGGCAACTATTTCCTTCAGACATAAGCCCTCCCTAATCCACGCAGATATATCCAAAACCTTTGTGCTGCTCCTAGAACTCAGGGTAGTAACGCCGAGGTGTTCCCTTCCAGCCTTCCCATTGTCATGTGTCTGAATACCCAATGCCCATTCGCCGCTTTCTTTACTTTTTTGGTGTAAGAGCTGAGACCACCATCGCCTTCACATAACCAACTTCTTACCCTCTCATCTCACCCACCCTTCCCCCTACCTTCCTCCACATAGGCATAAATAATCCAAGCTAGTGCAGGATCCTGGCCGCAACTGCAGCCAGACTCAGCCTAAACTAAATCTCTGATTGAATTAAAGTAATAAATCCTTCATCCTATCTGCCTAATAGAGAAAAGGGGAACCCTCACTGGTGGAAGACATCTGAAGCATTTCTGTTTCATTTGTATACAATGTCCAGTATGTAATAAAAAATTGTTAGACATGCAAAAAGGCAGGAAAAAGTGACTAATAAGAGAAAATGAAACAATAGAATTTCATTTGTTGTTGGCAGATAAAGATATAAAAGATT